TTACTGTTGTAGCAAATAACCACAAACTTGATGGCTTACAACACCCATTTATCATCTTTCGGTTCTGTAGGTGGAAGTCTGATAGGGGTCTCACTGGGCTAAAATCAAGGTGTCAGTGGAGCTGTACTCCTTTTTAGAGGCTCTAGGTGAGAATTACTTATTCTGCCTCCCTCTTCCACTTTTAAGGACGCTTGTGATTATGCTGGGCTCACCTGGATAATCCAAGCGACTCCCCATTTCAAGGTCAGCTGATTAGCAACCTTAATTCCCACAACTTTAATTCTCTTTTGTCATGTAACCTAACACATTCACAGGTTCTGAGATTAGGACATGGACATCTTTGGGGCTCCATTATTCTGCCTACCACACCATTTAACTACAAATTGTGCATTACAGATGCTATTGCCTTAAATAGGGCTATAAACTCCCGTGCACGAGTACAGAGGCATGGCATTTTCTGGAATTATACTATTCTGAAATCTATCCTTTGCTGCCTACATACATTTGTTTGCTGTTTCCTTTGAGATGCCATCCTCCTCAATCCCTACATATCCAAATTCTAGCGATCTTTTAAGACCTTGCTCAAATGGTACTTAGACTTTATCAGGTGGAAAAACGAAAAATAAACTTTGTTCAGAATACTTCTACCTTTTAGTATTCTCAATTGGTGTCTAATTGAACTCGTGATAGCACTTTCCCAAAATGAGTTGTGGTATCTTAAAACTTATTTTAAAGTATTCACACTGGATTTTTCAGACACTTCTGTTTGGATCACAGAAGGAAATGAAAGGAGAAAGCCAAGCCCTCCAGGCACCAGTGAAGAGGGACAGAAGGAAGTGCCTTGAAAACACCACACCAAGGAGGAATATTCTATTTAAGACCTTGCTTACAGTAAAAGCAGACAAATGAGAGCTGATATGCAAAAGAACAAAATGATAAGGTACTCTAAGTGGTTTGCTAAAGGCTGAGATTAAATCATGGTTCTAGGAAGGGTTGCAAGCTTGTTCAATGGCAAAAACATAGAATGTGATACATGTTGTTAAATCCCGCCTCTTCCAGTTAGTTGTGAGACACTGGGTGAATAATTTAATTATTTTAAACCTGTTTCCTCATCTGTAAAACAGGAATTACAAAAGTGGCTAATGATAGTGCCTGACATATAATAAGCGTTCAATAAAACTTTGCTTTGTGAGTGAAGATTCAGAGAGGTAAAGTAACTTGTCTAAATTTATACAGATAGAACCAGGCCCCCAAATTCTAGTATATTAAAATCGTTTTGCTGTTTTTTTTTTTAATTCTTTGGAAATATGAAAAACTATTCATGGTCCTTATAGCACATCTCTGTAACTCAAGAGTAGTTGCCACTATCCTGACCGAGATCATTACACTAAAACAGCTTTCTATCTTGTTCCTTGTGAAGACAGCAGCATTTCTCATTTGAAATAGAAGATTTATTTTTAGATTTTATTTATTTGAGAGAGAGGGAGAGAGCACAAGGAGGGGGAGCCGCAGAGGCAGAGGGAGAAACAGACTCCCCTCTGAGCAGGGAGCCCAATGCGGGACTTGATCCCAGGACCCCGAGATCATGACCTGAGCTGAAGGCAGCCACTTAACGACTGAGCCACCCAAGTGCCCCTGAAATAGAAGATTTTAAAGTACTTGGTACATTAACCTGCCTCCTTTGAGGAAGGCTGAATGATTCCATCCTTGGCACTGAAGGACACTAAGATCTGGAAAGTAGAAGAGTGCTTCTAGATCCTATTGGTCTAAACTTTGCTGACTGTGGTGAAAGAACCATTTAAACAAATTGAATATCCCTTTGAAACAAAGCCCTGAAGCCAACACCCTGGATACCAAATTAAAAGCTTGGGGGATATGTCAGGGGTCTTCCCATTTTCTCTTTCATTTTGGTTCACATATTCCTCTACTTCCCATAAACATTTCCCATTTTAAAGCTTATTTCAATACTAGGTATTCTGAAAATTTACTTAATGTGGTCTGGCAGACTGAAAAAAATGAATTGGAATTCAAGTGTAACAGCAGGCATCTGAATGGAATGGAATGAGAAGTGGAAGAGAAGCTAGAAGACATTGGTACCCTTGAACTTCTTTCCCTTTCTGGGCCTTTGTTTTCCAGCTTAAGGGAGATGGCTGGGCTACAGGGTATCTAAGACCCCAACTATCTCTAGCATTCCATGATTCTATGAGTGCCCCCCTCTGAAGTATTAGAATATAAAGGGGTGCATGTATGTGATAGGGTGGGGGGAGATCATTTGAAGAAGTAAAGGGGAAAAAATTGCAGGCAGGCACTTCATTTGAGCCTACACATCCAGTAGTGTGTGCAAGATAAGGGAAGAGAGGGCAGGAAAACTTGTTAACAAAAGGTTTACTTTACTAAGGATAGTATTCAAGCAAGCCTGCATCACTAAAGCCTCCATGCTTTATAGTTGAAAGCCTACCAAGAGCTGGGAATGAACTAACAAGACCTCAGGTGATTTATATTAACCACATTTCTTTTTTCTTAAGTTTGGTTTTGTTTCCCCTGAAATGTATTCAGCAGGCTAGCCATAGTCTTCTACCTGCTTTGCTACTGGCATGTAAGGACAAGCAGCTACAGAAAAAAAATTATTACTATTTCACTCTTCTATTATTTTTTTTTTAAGATTTTATTTTTTTGACAGAGAGAGACAGCGAGAGAGAGCACACGCGCAGGGAGAGTGGGAGAGGGAGAAGCAGGCTCCCCGCTGAGCAGGGAGCCTGGTGCAGGGCTCGATCCCAGGACCCTGGGACCATGACCTGAGCCGAAGGCAGAAGGCAGACGCTTAATGACTGAGCCACCCAGGCGCCCCTTCTATTAGTTTTTGTCACAAGATTTTTTTTTTTATAAAATCTACATCTCAAAAAGTATGCCATATGTGCTGTGACATAAGAGTCAATATAAACAAATATTGTCTTACTATAAACTTCATCCAGACCAGACAAGTTAAACATTGGCCTAATTTGGGCTTTATAACTATAAATAGAATGGGAAGTTAACATTAAAAGCTGACTTTACAGAAGCTGACTTATATTTACCTGGATGTTTTGTCAATGTATATAAACCAATCAGGCCACAAGGATATAAGAATCATCCTTAAATATGGTTTTTCATTTTCTGAGTTCCAGAGGCAGTAAGAAATCAGCTCTGGGAGTGCCTCTGGGCAAAAGATAAATGAGGTTACAGCTGTGGAAGTGGTAATTAGAGCCCATTACAACTTGACTTATCTGCTTTGTCATTAAAATGCCTGTCAGACCTCTCATTTTTCTAAACAGAGGAAAAGAAAAGGTATACCTTAGTCTGTGAGAGCGTTAACCAAAGGCAAGGGATTTCTAATTCTGTTCACAAACTTACTGTGTAACCTAAGACAAACCCATTGCCTTTTGGCTTCAAATTGTGCTTTGCTCACAGTTAAACCCTAACTCTTGAAGCTGAAAGGACCTCAGGAAATCACCTGGTCCAGGCTCCTGCCTTCAGGGAAGTTATTATAGTCCTATTTTCCAAATGAGATATAAAGACCCAAGTAACTTAACTAATGTTTTCTGCCTCCTGAGTGCAATGGATTTTATTTTGTTCTTACTTTTAACTGTCATGAGGAGAATGTAATTATTCTCACTTTTTTCACAGATATGTTGTATACAGGTTAACACGTAATAACCACAAGGCACTTTGAAAATACCAAAGGAAACTTATATTAACAGATACTAGCACTTGGAATGGATGGGTCTTATGAAAAACTAAAAGGAATGGATTTAGCCCTTTGAAGAATTAGCTTGAGGAAACAGAATTACACTCAATTTAGTTAAATGGACCAAACTCACTTTCTGTATATACGTGTAAGGGTATAATTAGGAGTAATGAAAAATTAAGAACAGGAATGCCACTAAGGGTTTTATCATTAGGCTTGAGAGGGTAATCAAAGAGTAAATGAAATTTTGCACGTAAGACCAGAAATCCTGAAGAAAGTTGGCTCCTTGGGTAAGGGGTAGGAAGTAAGTTTTTTTCTTGCAATTTAAGTTCACTTATACCTCTGACTTTTTTTCCTTAAAATTGTCTATAGTCTTGTCACTGAATGCCTGAATTATCTTCCTGTCTCCTATCTTTCTTCACTTTGCATCCTAAGCCAAATTATCTCTGCCCAAATCACCATCTTTATTGCTACTTTGAACACATCAACCACCTCACAAACCCTTGTTATCCTCTGTATTGAAATTATTCGGGATTTCAAGATCCTTCATTAATCCACTCCAATCTAGTCTCTTTCCCTATCCCTCTCTACCTATATTCCTTTTAATACTACACTTTCTCTTCATGTACCTGAAACAAATTCCATCCTTACATCTGATGTCATCTCTTCACCTTTCTTGAAAACTAACATGTATTTGATGTGAGGACTATACGGAGAAGGCGGAGTCTATAAACAGGTAGAAGTCTCTCATCTGATATGATTAACTAAAGGAGACTGGAGCCAAATCCCCTCATGTTTCTACCAGGGAGAAAGTGAGGACAGAATGAATGGTGAGGTGAATTTGGAGGAGTGCTGCAGGATAGAAATTGCTTGGAATATGTGGTAGTTCTGAGTATTAAAGAGGGCCTGCCATATTTTAAGATTTGTCTCTTCCATTCCTTCAATTACAGCTTGATCTTCATTATCTTTAATTAAGGCCTCGATTTATATGCTGTCTTCCTTGGTGAACGTATGTAGTTGTCACTATCAGAAAGATCTCTCAAGTGAGGAGAGGAAGGGCGATTGCCTTAGTTAACCAAGTAGGCACAATGGTGACAGGAAGGTTACTCCACAGAGAGGGTGGCAGTATATATTGTAAAGGAATTTTATGGTGGTACATACTCTGGGGAGTAAAACTCTTAGGTTGGGGTGGGTGGGGCCATTCCATTATTGTATCCAACATGAATAATGTGGGCAGAGTTTGGTTACCTAGCAGATATTGAGCTTAGAAACAATATATATTTTGGATTTTAAATTTTTATTCACCTCCATATAACAGCATATATAAAATGTTGCACAGACAAAAAGCATTTCTGAAATTTGGCAACTCCTTTGGGATTGGCACAGATTACAGACTTGAAAAAAAAAATCCATGGTGGAGGAATTTTCATCTCTAAGGGTAAAAGTCACTTAAGTCTGGTGAAATAAAATGGGAATAATCTGAACATAATTTTTAGTGAAATAAGCATGTAAAAGAATGACCTAATTTACTGTTAGAATAAATATCTATACCTTCACAACATGCCACCCTCAAAGGAAACAATGGTACTGAGATAGGTAAGTAATTATCTTAAAGTTTTGTTTGGGGTACAGATGTTAAGTATCTGATTTTGTGATAGAGGGAAAATGGGCATAGCTAAGGGAAGACTACAAAATATTCAGCTTCTTTGGAGGCCAGGTAATAAGGCTTCCATTAACCTGCTATGGCTTCAGGAGGGTAAGCAGCTTTTCTATCAAGTGTGGATTGGTAGTCCTGCTTGATTTAAATGAGTGATGCAGCTGTTGGGAAGCAGGAAATGGTGCTGGATTACAAAGAGACAACCAAAACTAACACAAACACACATAGGCTTCCTGGTATGTAAATTATTTTTGAGGTTAGAGATCTCCTTTTACAGAATTTAGTATATAACAGATTCAAAAACCAAACTTTTTGACCTCCCAATATTAAATAACTAAATGTGCAAAAGAATCACCATTAAATAGGACATCAAAAGCTATACATTTTCTATGAAACAATATGTGCACAGATCTTCAAAGCTGTGAAAATGCAATAAAGAGCACAACACATTTTGGTCACTTTATTAAATGACATTAAATAGTTTAAGTTTCAACTACTAAACAGCACTTTGAATGGTGAAAACACAGATAGTATTATTGTCATACTTGAATGCTTTTCTTTAAAAACACAATTCCAGTCCTTATATATATTACAAAACAGCCTTAAAGGAAGAAGTGACATCTTTTCTACAGTACTTAAGATACTCAATACGGAACTGAAAAGCAGTCTAACAGAAACAAAGGCAAGTCTTCACAGCTGTATGATTTCAGCAGCCAAAGCTGGATGATGGACTGAAACAGTACTATACAACTGGGACAAAACATATACAATATCACAATACTAAGCAAAAACGCTTTACACCCAAAGAAATAAAACAGGTTACAAAATATGGAGAATTTAGCAGGCAAAACTGTATTACAAGCAACATTTTAAATCGTCATTTTTTAAGCCATTGCAACTATTTAAAACATCTAAAACAAATATAAAAATGAGCCTTTTAGTATCTTATTGATGTGATTTTTTTCTTTAAATATTTGTTAAAGCTTGATGTTATACTCAAAGTACATATTATGTAGCTAAAATGTCAAGTGAGAAGAGTGTATGCAAAGTGGTCCAAGTTTTATTTCAAACTCTCTTAGTTCCAATTAATCCTTTCTATGTATTATTCCTTAAGTCATAGTTTCATCCATGGTGAAAAAGGTTTAGAAGGTTGCCTAAATTTTTACATCCATGTCTTTGCACAAGTAATCAGACCATGTTGAAAATTCCCAGGTCTAGTAAATCAGGTTTAAGGTATTCTGGACTTATAGAAATACCATCTGACAACAGCTGGCCAGAGTGTACTGCCTTCAAATACTTATCTCATAAATCTTGTCTTTTTCATTTCTTCTGGAGTAAACACACACACCCCCACCCTAATTGAGTAAATTTGATTATATGGCTGGCACAATATCCAGATATATGGAATTTGTTAGTGCTAACTCACCATGGTAAAGTGGCGGGGGGGATGAAATGGATCCACCTAACCTCACAAATTCTGTATCACAAACCTAGTGCTCTTAGATGTTTACCACTAGTTCTTTCAAGATAAAAATGGAAATCTCTTAATCATCCAAATAACTCAAAACAGTTCTAGCTAATGTTAAACTCATTCTAATCCAGTGATACCTAGAGCAATTCCTCCACCCAACTTTCTTTTTTTATGAAATTCCTTAGCTATTTCCACTACCTGTTACAACACCACCTCAAAAATGGTTTTGCCATGTTGAGTTGACTCCCATAGTCTAACAATCTTTTTCTTCAAGAAATTCGAGCAACCAAATTGTACATAAATAAACTTACAGGTCATGTTTGTAAGCCTGGATTAAAAAAACAATGTAATGATTTTCTAGTAAAACTTCATAAAAGGGTATTAGATGAATTAATTTTGATCAGAAAATTGCCTCACAGATCTAAACTAAAAAAAATCAAACTTTGAAACATAATTTATTTAAAATAACATAGGGAAGTTGGGGGAAAAGAACATGATGATGACAGAAAAGAGGAAGAGCATAGAAACCAGTGATCCTTATCTTTCAGAGGAATTATTTCACAATACTGACAGTACTGGGAATTATTAAAGCACATTCCTCATGTGAACTTAAAAAGTCAGCAATGGTTCTGCCATTTTGATATTGTTTATAAAACAGGGTGTGACCCTACAACCACACCATCATCCTTAACCTCCTAAAATGCTAGAACTTGATTTTGTTAGTCCACATCCCACTGCCAGCAACAGGATGAAGCACTAGCACTGGCACCAAGCAGTTAAGCGATGTGCTTTATATTAGTGCCAGGAGAGAGAAAATTCATGTGTGGAAGATAATCCACAACCCTGAAATTTTACCAGTCATTATTTCAGCACATAGAACTGAAAATAAAAAATGGCAGAAAGACTAAAGAAGAAAAAGGAATTCTCTTCTTAGGCTATACTTAAGGCTGTTTATACAATGCTAAGATAACTGCAAGACTCCTCCATGTTTTAGAGCAGTAGTATTTGAGAATATTGCACACAATTCTGTGTCAAAGATAACCCTTAGTTTCTAACTTTCAGTCACGGAGATGATACAGCAGGAGCCCAGTTGCAGACTTCAGTCAAAAAGAACATTAAAACCATTTCAATCATTTTAATAAAGAAATGGATTAAGTACAAAAGTATTTCATAACTTGAGGAATCAACTCTAAGAACTCAGCTGTGTGTTTTTATATGTAAAGAACGAATATATAAATCTGTATTCTTTCCTAAATTCATTAATTTTATGACAATTTTATGGTTGCTAAAAGCAGGCATAAAAATTTAGAGAGGAAATCTGTGGAGTTGTTACTGTTATGGAAGGACTTGTTTTCACTGAAAACAATTTGAAATATCTTCTGTACTCAATGTGTGTAAGAAGATTCTAGGCAACATCACTGACAAATGTCAGGAAAAAATGGTATGCCCTATTAAAAAAATTAAAACTAATATGGAAGATTGGCATTTAAGGGGACCAAACTATTTATACAGTTGAGTTCTGTTAAGTCATTGATTCCTAAAAAAATAAAAGATCTTTCTATGATTTTAACAATCCTTTAAGCTTTTAGTGCAAAATCACATTGATTTCCCTTGGGAAGGTCCTGGATTTTTGCTTCTCATTGGGGGTGGTGCACGCTGTAAGGGTGGTGGCTGCATACCACCAGCTACTGACTGATACATTCCTCTCATATCAATTTGCTGGTAGTTAGAAGGATTCATGATTAAATTTGGAGGCTTTGGCATCATGAGGTGACCCAGTGTTGCTTGTTGATAAGTCATTTGTTGTTGTTGCTGCTGACTGTACTGCTGCTGGAGCCTTCGGTTCATAAGTATTCGCTGAACACAGCTGATTAACTAAAGAGAGAAAAGGGAGCTGTTACAAGTGCGTGACCTGTCTCAAAGAGGTAAGTATCAAGTTTTAAGTTAAAATCAATTTGTTAAGGGAGTACCATACCAAAAGGAAAACACATTATTGTTATCACCATTACTAATTTGAGGCATTCACAGGACCATTACTGTAGAAACCACTTAGTAACACCATTTAGGGCTAAATTCTCTTAATGACTTGACTATTGTATTGCAAGCAGCATTTAGTTTAGTTGCCATAGTAACCTGTCCCCACACTATGATTAGTTTCCAGTATTAGTTACAGCACTTTTTGTCAAATCTCATTTCTTCTTCATTCTTTTAAATATTTCACATAATGACAAACATTTTTTAGTGACAAACACCAAAGGGAAAAAACACTTGTAGTGGGAACAATTCCTACCTGGAGTGTCTTAAATTTCCTAAGATAATTTAAAATCAATAATTCTACAGTGCTAAGTAAAATTCATGCCACAGAAATTGATTCCCTGGAGTCAAGAGTTGAAATTTCCCAGTGAAAGGCAGATGGCTGGCAAACAACTATGCTAGGAAAAATGATCAAAGGTCCTGGAATATGCTAGTCTTTTAGAGAATTATGTAATTTAGTATAAACCTGTGACATATATAATCTATAGCTCTACTTTTTTTTACTCTCAAATTAAATATATTAAAAAGTATACTTAATCGTTTAAAAATGGTAAATATGGTAAAAGTTTGGCAAAAATTCCTTTTTAGATGTCAGGAATACACAAAAAAATAAAATTATGTGGATGAGATTCCTATATAATCTTCAAGGAGACCCATTTAGCAATTTGTTGCTCTTTTGTAACCCTGTAACCCAGATATTACCTTTCTTTGACAATTACTATGGTTTTCTGACAAAATTTCTTCCAGGAAAAATGACCAGTCATCCGTCCATATGAGGGAAAGATGATTATTGACACAGATGTCACACAAACCCATTATTATAAATTCAAGAAAATTGGACATAACTTAGAGATAGTCGAACTCTTACCATCTGTTGTTTTGTCAATACATCATTGTAGATTGCTTCTCTTCGTTTAACATCAAGCTCCTGGCTGGCTTGTCTACTTAATGCTAACGCCTGTACTTGGGCCTCTGAGAGATTCATGTTTTCCTTCCACTAAAAGAAAAAGGTTCCATTTACTTCTTATTGCAGCAGAATTGAGGACAAATAATTAAGGTACTCAAAAATATTCAGGATTTTAAAAAGGTTTTTTTCCCCCTTTCTTTTATTCTTTTCTAAAGAAAACAAGGATGTAAAAGCAGGGTACTGAGTTAACCACTGTTGTACAAGGTTTGGCTATCTCTGGAATGAAACTACTTGGATTTAATTTGTGTAACTGATAAAATATGTTTAAGTAAACCACACATACATTTCTCTGATTTCCCAATCATTTGGGATATTACACATTTCTCTTTTGGGCCAACATTTAAGTAAAAATGCTGAATTACAGCTTAGCACTATTATCCAGTTTACTAGTATTTTACTATTGCAAATCAAGTTAGAAGAATTATGTTGTTTTCCCCACAGAAGGAGTGAGGCAAACAACAATTACAAATAAAAACAAAAGGGCTAGAGGGGGAACACGATAGAAATACCAAGTTGGAGTAAGATAACTGCCAATTAACTTACTACAGCTGAAATTATATCTTCAAGAGGCTGAATCCTCACTGCTGTCACACTGTTTGTTGCTTCCACAACTTTTTCTCTTCCTTGATTAATGAGGTCCTAGAAGAATGCAAGAAATGTTATATAGGACCTATAAAAGACACATGCTTGTAAAGTATAGGGATCCTTCCTTTTGCCAATTTATAGCACTTGGTTTTAAGAATCTTCAAATAATTGAAAAGCAGCAAAATGCAGCATCAATAACGTGGGTAAAACTTATCAGTGAGGGTCTTGTTAGGAAGATAAAAGTTTGGGTTTGCATCCATAGTTCATCAATTTAAATGACTCCATAAGTACATTCTCAAAAGGAAACCACAGATTCAATTACATTACTACATAATTGGTATAATAAAACCTAATCTTTTTCATTTAAATCATAATTGATTCTAGTTTTAAATAACTTACTTCATAACACTGGACATTAGCATATACTTTATGCTGCACCTACATTGCATCAGAATATAAATGTATTTATCCTATTTTCAAACATTAAGCAACTTAATTTGTTTATTCAAAATATTTTATAACTAAGAAAGTGCTATTTCCCTAGCCAGTCAACTGCCCTATTGTTCCTTAATTAAAATAATTCAAAGAACATTAATTCAAGGCCTAATTCTCTTGTGCTCTGAACAAACCACATTTTACTATACTATGATGGTTCAAAAAGGTCAACAAATAAAAGAAAAATTTCTTGGTCTATTCAGAGGTAATCTTTTGGAGAATGTGATATTACTGCATAGGGAACCCTCAACAACAGGGTACTTGAAATTGCCTTTAATTCAAGTTAAACTACTTTTGTACTTCACAACTTACCTCCAGCTGTTGATTACTCATTGCTGACAGGGCTCCCAAATTGAAAGGAATATAAGGAGTTTGAGAGTTGAAACTGACAGGGGGTAAATTGGTCCCAGTTGGTATGTTGAAACGCATGGTCAGTCCCTAAAAACAAAAAATTATGCACTTTCCACATTGTGATTTAAAACTTGAAATTCTACATCACCTACTGGTTTAGAAAAGAATCCACATTCTCAGATCTAAGAAATTATTAACACTCTTCCACACACAAACAAAACATCCTTTTCACCCGAAACCAAGATCTTATTACACGGAAAGCTTTAACCCCTAAAGGTGTATTCTTTTTTCTGAAAATTCCCACAGAATGGGGTAACTCAGAGAATTCTAATGAGACTCCTAACATCACATTAACGTTAAAGAAGCTTGGTACAATGAGTTAAGAGTTTAAAAAGAATTCAGGTATTAGGATAAAGTTTCCCATGCTTAGGCACATTTTTGCTCAAGGGGGTTGGTGTTTAAAACAGACATGGAACTATTTTAAAGTTGCTGTTGGAGACTGACATTAATGTCCAATAATGGAATATTTTTATGTTCTGACATTCAGTCAAAATTTTGATTTCATGGTACACATGTCAAAGAAACATTTCCTCCTACCTCTAAACTCTAAGCTCCTGTATGTCTGTTACTAGAGTGAGGGTGTTGACGGGAGTTAAGTGATGCTAAATATACAGCTTCCCACTAATATCTCACAATTCAGCAAGTGCTAAGCAGAACTGGGCTTACTACTCTTTAAGTGGAAACTATTTTCTTCTTTCCCTTCCTCCCACTCTACCACCAAAGGTAACCAAAGCCTATAAACAGACTCGTATTTCGGGACTCTGTTCCTAAAGACTCCCTATTATTATTACCTGTTCCAAATGTGACCCTTTACTTACTCACTGCTCTTTCAAATGACTAACACAAAAACCAAAACCAAAAAGCATTTTGAATGAACTACCTTCTTCTCTGCTTCATACTCAGCCCAAGCTGCTTTTCTTTCTTCTTCAGTCAACTCTTCTTCTTCTTTGTGGTCCAAAAGAGAATCATGTTCATGATATCCTACAATGTGTTCTTTATGTATTTGAAGAAGTTCTGCAAGTATGGTGTCCTGTTTAGAGAGGTTGAAATAACAAGAGAATTATTTTTTCTCTCTGGATCCTATCTCCATAGTTCTTTGGTCTATTGTCAGACTAGAAATTAGACACTGGCTGCCACACATATTTCTGATATATATGATATAAATTACTTAGAAAAGAGTCACAATACATGCAACACCAGCCTCTTCTGTAAGAACTTCCTATATTAACAATGTTTATATAAGCATGTTTTAGGAGTTCACAATGTTTTAAATGTGGTTTTTTTTTTTTTTGAGGTTTTTTCCTCCAACGTTTTTCTAATTCTTCATGTATGTTTGTTTTGTATTTGTTCTGAGTTGATTATAAATGCTAATATAAGTCTGCTTAAATCAGAGATTACATTGGATGCTTGTGCTAAAAATCATGGCTACTACTGTTTATACATATTTATCAACTTTATTTCTTTCACAATCACTTTGGCCACCAGCCACTATACTAATGAAAAGCAAATCTAAATTAATCTAAACAGCTACAGGACAGTTTCACTAGAACATACAGTCCTTATATTTCAATTGTAGAAAGGTCAATTATAAATTACATTGTAAAGATGCATGGGTCAAATTTAAACTGATATACAAAGTTTATCATTTTATTGTCACAGTGGGTTTTTTTTAAGTCATAGTGTCTTAAGTCAGTCTTTTAAGGTTAAAAAAAATTAAAAGCTAAAAATTGGGATCATTTATATACTTAGTAAGAACAACCAAACTCCTGCTCTGTGTAATTATGATTATGAGAGAGAGACAAAGAGAGATTGGGAGGAGGGGGTTAAAGTGAACCATAGATATGTTACTTGCTAATAAAAAATTAAAATACTCACAAGTTGTTTATTAAGAAATCACAGATGAAAACCTGGATATATAAAAGGCAAATTAATTCACTTTACAAAAGGATTTTTCATAGCTTCTAAAAGCAAGTTCTCCTAGAACACACTTTCTAAAGTGAGTGTGAATCTAGTGAAGGAACATAATTAACAGAGCAAAGGAAAGGTTGCAGAGGTATAAGTACATTAAATTTAAATTTAATCTACATCTAGTAATGCTTAATGCCTTCCTTTTAGTATAGACAAATCCCACACTTGAAAATAATTCTGTCTTTACATCTTCATCCACGCCCAGAGTATTACAACACATGGTAGGAACTCAAATGTCTGTTAAATAACTCAAGATGAAAAATTCAAATCATGAGGCCCTAAGATCTTTTCTGTACAATAGGAAATGCTGACACTAATTCCAAATAATCAGAATATTTGGTATCATTTAAACAACTTTTTATCTTGCTACCCTAATATTTGAAATAATTATTTCATCATTCCATGAGATAAAAGGAATTGATTTCATTAACGAATACAACTGTAAATGAGATTTTATACTTCATATGCTATTTCTTTTGTTGAAAACCGAAAACATTAGAGGCCACACGTAGGGGAGGGCTCAAGAAAGCCTAATGGTGGAATACATAAATGCTAACAGGTTTAGTTCTTTTGAAACACTAGCTAAACATTTCTCTTCTACACCAGTGTAGAAATCTGTCATCAAAGCTGACTTCCCATGCCTACGCCATATAAAACAGGTTTATCATCAGTAGACAGATCTCCAAAGTTCACAGTTACTGACCAGGTAGGCAGGGAGATAGGCCAATATGAATTAAATTCTATTAAAAGATAATGCTTCTTCAGATGTATGTCTCCCATGCTCACCCCCCCAACTATGACTCAAGAGAGAGGTATATAATAAAACCAGACACACTGACTTATATTTTTAGCAAGTGACCATGCCAAATACAATTAGAAAAGTCAGCTATTCTACAGAATACCAAATAAATTACAAGGCAGAAATGTTCTATGGATAGTCCCTAATTTTACTTCTGCCTAGCAATAAGTGATGTTCTTAACCATAGTCAAAAATAACTTCATTTCTCTAAGAAAGCAACCTAAGGTGGGGGGTGGGAGGGATGGGGTGGCTGGGTGATAGACATTGGGGAGGGTATGTGCTATGGTGAGCATTGTGAATTGTGTAAGACTGTTGAATCACAGACCCGTACCTCTGAAACAAGTAATACATTATATGTTAAAAAAAAAAGATAGTAGGAAGGGAAAAACGAAGGGGGGAAATCGGAGGGGGAGACGAACCATGAGAGACTATGGACTCTGAGAAACAAACTGAGGGTTCTAGAGGGGAGGAGGGTGGGGGGATGGGTTAGCCTGGTGATGAGTGTTAAAGAGGGCATGTATTGAATGGAGCACTGGGTGTTACACGCAAACAATGAATCATGGAACACTACATCAAAAACTAATGATGTAATGTATGGTAATTAACATAACATAATAAAATTAAAAAAAAAAAAGCAACCTAAGGGAAAGACCAAGAGTATTGTGTGCTAGGAACTGATTTACTTTCAGCTGTGCCACTGATTCTCTCTGTAACAATGACTAATAATTTAGTCTAGCTATAACTGTCAGTTTAACAAAATGAAATCCTATCCATTCACATGTATAACAGGATGATATGAGAATAAACAGAAATAGATGAAACACCCAATTCTTTGGAAATAAATCTTATGTCAATTAAGTGCAGTGTTTATTTCTCAATTATAAATACCAGATTTCATATATTAATTACTCTCTTATGGTTAGAGAGAAAGCCTTTCCAGAGATTGCATGTATGCAATGTGCATGTGCAGGCACGCACACACACTCTCATTTATACCCTTTAAAAAATGTCTGAACTATCAGGGAGTTTTATCAAGTCAGTCCTTATCATCCTATAATTTCAAAGTCCAAACTCATCACCTTGGAATTGGTAGAAACCCATGCCCAGAGAGGCAAAGTAACTTGTTCCAAGCACACAGCTCAGACTAGCTGGGACTAGAAGCTGAATTTTCTGACTTCTTTCCAGTGATCATTCTATCACACTATAAAGAATGTTTTCTTGAGGCATAGTTCCTCCATTTCCCAGATCTGTTCTCAAATAAAAAAACACTACCCTGAAGGATTCTGGGGTGGGAGAAACCTAAGTATGTCTATTTTTTCCCTCACTTTTAACACTTTTGTACTTTTTGAAGTTTTTTAAAAAATATGCTAATTTTTTAATAAAGGAAAAAATAAAAACTGAAGCAAACACAATTCTCAGACACAAACCTATAAAAAACCAGTTCATGCTTAGTCTAAACCTGACATGAACTATTTTACCACTTTCATCTTCAAGAGATATTCAGTTTAGGAAACACTACTTCCAAAACATTTTAATGTCTTCTCCCCAACAATTTCAGATTTAAGATCTAGCCTCTTAAGTTAAACATGATTGCCTTATTAAGGTCAGATTATGGTAGAGGCTCAGCTTCTGTTCATGCAATAACTTTCCTTTGACCCACAGTCAACTAAAATGCCAACAAGTCAGAGGAAAAATGCATGACTTTATTTTGTATCATTAAAAATTTTTGGACCCTTTTCCTAAAACATTAGCTCCCTCCTAACATCAAACCAAATAACCATTCAAATTGTTTCTACTGGCTACGGACACTCCCTTCTTTTCAAAGAACTTTAAAAAAAATTTAAGGAAACAACCCTAATTTCCTATTATAAAACCTAGAGATAACTAATGGTACCATCTGTCATATATTTCTCCACACATTTACACTTTACACTCACACTCACACATGCTTTTACATAAAAATGGGATTGTACTATAGCCAAACTGTGGAAAGAGCCGAGATGCCCTTCAACAGATGAATGGATAAAGAAGATGTGGTCCATATATACAATGGAATATTACTCAGCCTTCAGAAAGGATGAATACCCAACTTTTACATCAACATGGATGGGACTGGAGGAGTTTAAGTGAAATAAGTCAAGCAGAGAAAGTCAATTATCATATGGTTTCACTTATTTGTGGAACATAAGGAATAGCATGGAGGACATTAGGAGAAGGAAGGGAAAAATGAAGGGGGCGAAATCGGAGGGAGAGACGAATCATGAGAGACTATGGACTCTGAGAAACAAACTGAGGGTTTTAGAGGGGAGGGGGGTCGGGGGATGGGTTAGCCAGGTGATGGGTATTATGGAGGGCACATACTGCATGGAGCACTGGGTGTTATACGAAAACAATGAACTGTGGATCACTACATCAAAAACTAATGATGTATTGTATGGTGACTAACAATACAATAAAATTTAAAAAAATTTTTTTAAAAATGGGATTGTACTATACTTTTGAAACCACTTTTCTGAATTAGTATCTTTCCATGGACATCATTTTACATCAAATACAAACTATCATTTTTAATGGCTGTAAGGTGCTTACAAATTATATAGATAAACCTTATAATCTATTTAATTATTCTCCTATTTAAGGGTTTATTAATACTTAGGCCACTTCCAGTTCTTCATTATTACTAAATCTGCAACAAAATAGGTTAACGGACAAATTTTAGTGTATTTCAACTACTTGTTCATATAATAACTATGCCAATAATATTCAAGGACTTAAGTATGTTTACCACAATCTTCATTTTAACAAAGAAAACACACTATATGTGTTAAGTTAACCGACTTTTATAGGAACAAGATTCATTTACATAGTTCAGAAGCAGGAGGGCAAAAATCTTCCTTTCCTCTAGAGTGCTATGTGAGACACAAATAACAGAAAGAAGATACAGAATTTCTGATATAAACTGTTTCTACATCTTTGTAAATTAATTGTAGCATACTGTTAATACAAGGAACAGATGATGAGATTAAGACAGAAAAAAATAAAAACATGTTAACAGGATTCTCAGAATATTTCTTTGGGAAAAACAGTTTTGCAAAGTCTAGAGCAAATTATATAAGTTAATAAAGAAAAATTTCATCTCAATATACAACACAATCGGTGGAAAGGTTTTTTGTTTCTTCTCTTTGAAGCATGCATTTATTAGTTGCTATAGCAACACTATTATTGAAAACAATACTGGAACAGAATCTATAATCACTAGGCCA